TAAGTGACTCACCTGCTCCTTTATGTCTTGTAGCTGTTGCTTCAGCTTTTGCACATCGTCCATTTGGAAATTGTTGACGGCGCCTGCAGCAGGTGCACCCATGCCTGCTGGTAGATTCGTGAGATTCGCAGCTGCTGCAGCATTTAATATGTTGTTCTGGCTATTCAGCTGATTGCTACTGCCAGCCACTGGAGTGACCACCGTGTTGTTCATGGCCACGCTATGGCCCGAGGTGTTCACACACGCCGGCTCCAGAAGCTTTTCCTCGGGCGCGGTCAAGCAGACGGTGCCGGCCACATAGACCTTCTCGACTGGCCCCGCACCGCCGCAGCAGAGCGTGTATGAGAGCATTTCATCGATTTGGGTGCGGCAGAGGACGCACTTCTTCATCAACGCACTGCAGTGCTCACAGGCCACCATGTGGCCGCAGGGACGAAAGAAGACAGCAGCGCGCCTGTCCGAGCAGACGACGCACTCGTCGATTTTCTCACGTGAGGCCACTGTCTCGCGGCAGATGAGGCACTTCTTCACACGCGGAGCACAAGTTTCGCAGCAACTCACATGGCCGCAGGGCTTGAACACTGTGTCCCGCTTGGCATCCGAACAGACCAGGCACTCCTCCACGCTGGTGACCTTGTTGTTGGTGTTGCTGATGCTGCCAACACAGCCACCGCCTGCGGTCGTGTTTTTGCTGCTGCTGCTGCTTTCCACGTGCAACGATTGCGCCATGTCATGACTGAGCCCGTTCAGCCCGAAGGCACTGCCCGAGGCAACAGTGTTGAGTGGAATATTTGCCGTGGCCGACTGGTGCATACCAGCTGCACTTCCAGCTACCGCAGCGCTTTGGGCACGCGCGCGTGCATTGAGACTTGTGCCAGCCACATTACCCGGCAGCTCGGCATCATCGGTTTTACGCTCGTTGTAGCACTTGAGTAACGTCTTGCAGAGATTCGGATCTGGACACAGGTCCAGCGGTGTTTGCATTTTTCGATTCTTGAGCGTTAAGTCAGCACCGTTGGCCGCCAGAAAGCAGGCAATCGATGCGGATGCCTTTTTGTTGTTTGCATTGCGTAGACCCATCAGCAGCTTGCCAAAGCCCTCAACATCCTGCAGCTGCTTTAGCTGCGACAGTGTATGATGGCGCAGTGCCTCATGCAGCGGCGTATCGCCATCCTTATCTGCTATATTCAAATCGGCGCCATCCTGCACCAGCAGCTTAACGATCTGCACATGCTGCCGCTCAACGGCCAAGTGCAGCGCCGTCTGCTGGTTTACATTCTGTCTGTCCATATTCGCCTTGCCCATGTGAACCAATAGTTCGGCTATTTCCACATGATTGTTGAGTGCAGCCAAATGTAATGCAGTGTAGCCGTCGTCCTTTTTCTCCTCGACGATCCAGGGACGATTCGTTTTCGTCAATAATATTTTCATGGCGCTGGGATTGCCTTTAAGAGCGGCATGATGCAGCGCATTGAATCCATTGTTGTTGTTCAGCGTGATGTCAGCTCCATAGTCCAGCAGAAGCGACAGCATCTCATCATGCTCCTGCAAGGGGAAAAAATTTATATGAAGACCCATATTCATGTATATTATAAATATTTCTTGCTACCTTTGATATGGCGTCATGGAGTGGCGTATCGCCTTCGGAGTCCTGCAAGCTGGGATGACAGCCCAGCGTGAGCAGCGTCTTCACCACATTCAGATGCCCCTTGTTGACGGCAATATGCAGTGACGTCTGGCGCCGTTTATTACGTGCATTTAGATCCGCTCCAGCTTTAGCCAGAATTTCAATTACGGCTGCTTCATCGCCAAAGGCCGCATGATGCACTGCACGATCGCCGTCCTTGTCCTCAATCTCCACATCAACAGAATGCCTCAGCAGAACTTGAATCACCTCAATGTGACCATTCTGGCTCGCTGCCTGCAACGCCGTGTGACCCGCAAAGACACCATTCACATTAACCTCCGGCACAGGGCCGCCGCTCGGACTGCCTGCAGCTGCGGCTGCCGCTGCGCTAGAAGTCGAAGGCTGTGCTGCACCAGCCAAATACTCCTCACAACGCGCCTGCAAAAGGCAGAGATAAGATTAGCATTATACATAGGGAGGACATATAATTAACTTACTGCAAATCCATTGGCTGCTGCCTTGACAAATTCCTCGGTAGCATCACCGGAAACATTGGGCTCGAAGAGTTTCTTGAGAATCGCAGAGAGCCGTTCGCCGCTGGGTATGATTGGAGCACAGTTGCCATCGGCCGTTGTTGCAACGCCAGTGCCGGCGCCGCTGGTGGAGACCACCTTCGAGACTGCCAGTGGATTGTAGGTCCAAGAGGTGTTGCCCACCTCTACCTTCAGATCATTATCGTGATACACCTGCTGAACACGTCCAATTTTGCCCAGGGTCAATTGCATGGCATCGGCCCATTCGCCATGGCCACGCTGCAGTATTTTGATGCTCTCCACATCCGAACAAATCTTGACAATGTCGCCAACTTGGAACTCCGGCGGTGCAGTGGTTGGCGACGACACCTTAGTCAGCACAGCCGGGTTGAAAGTCCAGCGATTTCCGGAATTGTAGGCAACAACAATGTCGTGATCCTCATCGATGCCAACGACCATGCCCGCATTGCTCAGGCACTCGAACATGCCATCTGTCCAGCCGCCATGCCCATGCTGCAGCGATTGCACAATCTCCAGATCCAGATCCACAGTGACCTTGTCTCCGATTTGAAAGCCATGTGGCCCCTTGCCAGGGCCATTCTCGCCCAGCAGCGGCAAATGATCACGATAAACATTGCTGCCCTTGGCATCGTTGACCACTTTAAGATCCGCCATGCCCTCGAAGCCCACGCGATACAGGTTCTTTGAGCCATTATCCCAGATCACATAGGCCGCTGAGCGGGGCGATGCGGATGACCAGTCCTGAATCTCATTCACCTTCCCACGCCGTCCAACACCGCCATCCTGATCCTCCCACTGCCAGTCGACGCCCCGCACCACACGAGCACCTGGAAAGATGCCGCGTACCAGCACCTTCTTGGCCTTGCGGCGTGGCTCCACCATGGTACGGTCTCCGCCCGGCGTACTGATCCGATAGAAGCGATGACGCAAATGATGCTTGTCGCCATGATAGCAAATGGAACAGACGTCGTAGTTGATGCACTCGGCACACTTCCAGCGTATGCCAAAGATTGGCTGCTGTCTGCAGGTATCGCACATGGTGCCCTCATGCTTGACGCCCGTCGGAGCGCTGTCCAATATGCGCAGATCGTAGGCGCCGGCACAGCGATAATTGGCGGCCGTGCCATTGTCCCAGACAACGACCACCTCCTCGGCCGACTCAAAGTTGCGCACAGTGCCCACGTGCCCCTCGCCGCCATCCTGCAACAAAGCAAACAAACAAACATTTAATTTTTCATTCCAATAGCTTGAGCTTACGCCATCCCCATCCAATTCGACTCGCGTATTTCGACTCACGCTAATCACAACGCGAAAATTATAATTGAATCGCATTTGCCTGATGCCACCCAAAAGCTGCTCAATGTTCAGCCGTGCACAATCTACTAACTGTTAACTATTAAGGGTGCACTCAGTGCGTTCCACAATCAGTTAAACGATCTTCAAATCACACCAAAAAGCCACCTCATTCCAGGTCAACATCAATTTAAATAAGTTCATAACAAATCAACACCAACGACTGATAAGCTACATATGAATGCGCACCTTAAATGCCCTAACTTGAATAGGTGATCTAAGATCCAATAATATTAAAATGTATTCTATTTTATTTATCATAAAATGTGTTAAAAGCTGATCAAACATTAGGGTCCAATGTATGATTTCTCAACGGGCAATTGAACATCATTTAATTTTATTGAATTTAAAATATTTATTTTTTGTATTTTACTCTCTATAGTATTTTAATGTACTGTGAATAGTAAATTAAAATAAATGTATAGGTTAATTACTGAACCTTTTCCACCAATACATATATTATTATTTATATTTTACATGTGTATAACTAATGCCTTAACAGTTTCCTAGTGAAAAAACAATTTCGAGCCAATAAAAATTGAATTCAATCACCGTAAGCTTTCAGACAATGCCCAAATAGCCTCTGTCTCGCCCCCTCCCATTCTGGAACTTTCCATCTCTTTTCCTCTCTGTGAGTTTGGTTTTCAGTTAGTTACATATGCACAATTCAGGGCCGCGTTTATGCAATTAAACTTGGTAAGCATGAGCTAAGACTCAACTGAACATGTTCCAGTTTAGTGAAGTGTCAATGCCATCTACTAACAGTTGGCTTGATCTTCTGCAACTATAAATCTCAACACGACATCTCCCAGCTCGCAACTCACCTGTTTGTTCCATTTCCAGTCCGGGCCACGAATTACACGCGCACCAACTCCCTCCATGGAGAAACGTCGAGCGACTGCCGCAGCTGAGCCAGCTCCACTGCCACCGCTGCCACTGCCACTACTACCATTACCCACACCTGCAGTTACAGTACTGCCTCCGCTGACTACCACGCCCACAGATGTGGTCGAAGATGAAGAACCACTTGCAGCAGCATTTGTTGAATCTTTGGCCGCCGATAAGGTTGCGGCACAAGACATTGCGCGTGTCTAAGTGTGGGTCCAGCAATTTTTATATTTGATTTTCTTCACTTTTTCCTTGAGACACACACAACAAATGTCATGCAGGTTTTAGTGAGTGCAAGCAGCGTTGCCAGCTAACAAGTTTCGCTGCTGGCACACAAGCAATTGCATTCCAATGCACACTGAATGCCCAACGCAACACGTAAGCGCTACGCCACGGTAATCAAGAAATGTAAATCATGGATACTTTAAATAAACTGTCCATTAATTAAAAACGCAGCGAATTTTAACCGAATTGCAGACTATAAAAATATAAAATGAATAGTGTAAAACGTTAATTAAAATAGTGACTACTGCTCGACAGTTGCCATCTGAGATTGTAAAGTGTTGCCACCTGACCGAAGAATGTCACACAACATTTTTTCACCACTTGCAACATAACATTGAAATATCGATATTTTCAAAAAAGTAAATAATTAAATATTTCCAATTAAAAACATTACATAGAAAACCCATTTACAGTAGTAACGCAAGCAATGCTAATTAGTTTCGCCATTTGCGTAAGTTTTTAATTGGGATTTTCGATAGACTTGGTACAAATAGATCGACGACTGATTCGATATATTATTCTGTTGTGTTGCACTCGTCATTCCTAGCACAAAGCCCCTTGCTGCACTAGCATTTGGGTTTTCCTTCCAAAGAAACATAATTGAATTAAGCGTAAACATTAAAATGTCTAACAGCAATACAGACACGGGTGACACAACTGTAACGACCACAACTAGCGCCACTGTACAGGATTACAATCCGAATGCTGTCGATGGTGAGGTACTGGAACCGCGTGAGTCGCTGGTAAATAGTCTTAAGCAAGCATGCAAAGCAATGCTTTTCGACTTTGTCTAATCTCTAACCTTAAATCGGTAGATAACCACAGCTGTTAGCTTTTTACAAAACACGAAGGTTCGCCACACAACACTCGTCCAGAAGCAGCAATTTCTGAGGTCCAAAGGTCTAACTGCGCATGAGATACAATTGGCTTGTGAGAGAGCCGGTGTCTTTACCCAAGATCCAAACAATCCCAATACTGTCATAAATATTGGCTCTCAACTGGCGGTGCAGCCACAACAAACAGCTTTCGGCAGACTTCGGGAAATTCTGCACACGGCTGCGGTATTTAGCGGATTCGTCTATGCCCTTTACTTATTCTGGCGCGTGAGTAATAGATTAAAGTTAATATCTTAACAGACTCTAATTGTGCTAAAAATCTTTACAGAAATTCATTGCACCATTTCTATTTGGCAAGCCAAAGAAGAAACCCGTTGAAGAGGCTTTGGCAGATATTGACAAAAAAGTGGAAGTACGCACCGATGCACTTAACAACGAAATCACATTGGTTAAGGACATGATTACGCTGCAACAGAAGGAGCAGACCCAACATATGACTCGCGAATTCAACAATTTTCGCTGTGACTTGGATGCTATTAAGGGGCTGTTGCTGAATCGTAAACAATTTCCGGGCCCCGTACAGCCCATAGCAGTGCCCTCGATACCTGCCTGGCAGTTGGCTAGCTCGCCCCATCACCATCGCCATAGCAACAATAGTCAGTCGGATGACAACGATAAGCCCGATGATGCTGGCTCCGGTTCCGGCTCATCCGAAACGGAGGTGGTTACCAAAAACAGTGATTCTAGCTTAGAGATCATGTAATGACTATGAAGAAAAGGCTTTTCATATATAGCTGATGTAGTCTGGCTATATATACATATTAATAGATTTTGTATATGAAATATTTGATGCTTTAGTTATAACCAGTGTACATTGAATGAATATCAGATAGACGGTTTGCATATTTAGTAGTATTCAGGTTTAATTTTTCAAAGGCTAATATCCATATCCATAATTGCTACCAAAAGATAAAATACACATAAAAATATATACAATATATATATA